CCCCCGTTCGCCAATCTTCGCTCACCTGAGCGCGACTCTTCGAGGACTATCGACGATCCGTGCGTTTGGAATGGAAGCGACTCTCACGAAGGAGTTCGATAATTATCAGGATATCCATTCGTCCGCGTGGTACATCTTCATCGCATCCTCCCGCGCCTTTGCCTTCTTGGTGGATGCTTTTTGCTTGCTATATATCACGCTGGTCACACTGAGCTTCCTTGTGATGGACAACGGCTTTATGCATGGCGAATACGTAGGCCTAGCAATCACGCAGAGTATCAATCTTACTGGGAGATTACACTGATGCATGCGCCAGAGCACCGAGGTGGAGAACCAGATGGCCTCGGTGGAGCGTATCCTTGAATACAAGTACTCGCTTATCCTTTACATATCTTCATATTGTGTTTGTATTAATTATGTATCAATTATCTTTATTGATTGTCTTACTTTATTGAAATATGAGTTACCACTTATTTTATATTATTTCAATTGCAATTTTCAATGTATTGAAATTTTTTTTAAGTAAACACAGGATTTAATTATCTACCGATTTAGTGATCTACTTACATTATGAATCTCATACTCAAATATTATTCCATTACTGACCGCATACTGTAATTCTTAAATTCCTAAATTTCTTAAATTTCTTTAAATCTTGAAATTTTAGATCTTGTAGCGTCCAATTTGTAAATTTTCTAATTCTTGTTTTAAATTTTTTGGATATTTTTATTATTCAAGTTTCATAATATTTTATTATCAATATTTTTTCGTCTATCTAGATGAACAAATTTGTAAGTTTTATGAAAAATTGCAGATATTTCTAAAGCAGTCTAATTAATTTCTTTAGATTATTAAAATAACGTTTAATTTATATTTTCTGCTTCGATCTTTTTCCAGCGGTGTGGACAGCGAGCCTCCTCTCGAAAGTGTTCCCGATAAAAAGCCCAAGTCCGATTGGCCACAAGAAGGTAATATCAAGTTCAAGAACGTGTTCCTGCGCTATGCGCCTTAGGCCGGCAGTGCTCAAGAACCTCAGCTTCGTCATCTTTCCGCGGGAGAAAATGCCTCTTGGCGCGAGCCATTGTGAAGAATAATCCGATACTCGTGCTGGATGAGGCGACCGCGAATGTGGACCCGCG